GGAAACTGCAAGGTATGTACGACCCAGTTTGCTTACGCATACGTCTATATTTTGTGTATACTGTTTTGACTGACTTATACCTAATTTCTTTATATGAAATATGTATTAATATAATTTTATTTCGATAATTCTAATTTTATCTCTGAGGATGATCGCTACGCGATCAAAACGATCATTAGCAAAATAAATGTTTGTACTAGATGTGGCAGTTATTAAACCCAAGAGATTTCCATATGAATTAGATTTCCATGTAATTATATTTACTGTTTATTACAATGCTAATAATTTTATGAACCTCTTCCGGTCGTGTCATGAACTCCTGTTACAATTTTTTATGCTGTCTGGGAGTAATGGTTACAACGAATGAAAAGAACAACACGAATCGAAACAGCAGAGCATCCCTGAGAATTTCAACAAGCGTAAATTGTTGTTGAATGGAACTTAGGAATGGCGTGATTTATTATCTTGGTTTATATTTCCAAGAGCAACTTTCTTCGAAGTGGCTGTCATTATCGGTTCAGACGACCTGATAAATGACACGACCAAAATGAGTCTCCTGTCTCCAAAGTCTCTGCTAGAATTTTGCGTTTACATGTAGTACTACATTCAACAGAGCGTATCGCTATTGATACAATTCTCCCTCCCCACCAGATGAGTAGTCTTTGTACAAGATTTATATTCACTCGTTTACATTCACGAGGTTCCACAAAGAAAAGGGATATCTGTATTACCGTGCCGCTTTATACTAAAAATCGATTGAGGGAATATATTCAGAAGACGGAAGGAATGGAGAATCATTTCCTGAGTTATTTCGCCGCGATAAGATTGTTTGGGATGGATGCGAGCGGCACCGCCCTCCGTGGGAGAAAATTCGCAGGCACTGCGGCGATCTGTGCACCTCGAAGGAGGCCGAAGCGAAGCCGCTGTCAGCCTGTGGCGCCCCGCTCGTTCGGGGCGGCCGTCGCAGCCGGGCTGGCTCGCCGCTCGTTCGTTCTTTCGCTCCGTGCTG